TAGACTGGGACACGGAGGCGTGGCAGCGGGACCCCGACTTCTCGGGTCTGCAGAGAGTCGGGGGCGTGGACGTGTCCTTTGTGAAAGGGGACAGCGTCAACGCCTGCGCCTCCCTGGTAGTGCTCAGCTACCCTGAGCTCGAGGTAACCCGGGTGGGAGGCCGAACCCAAGGTAGAACCCGGCCGCTCCTTCTGTAGGATTTCCTTAAAGGTTGGGGAGTCGTTGAAGGAAGGGAGAAAAAAAAGGCAAAAACTAAGGGAGGTTATGTGATCGGGTCTGAACCAACTCTTACGTTTACCTGATTGTCATCTCAGTTTCTGCCTCAATGAGGCAGCACCACACCCTCAAGTTGCCCAGAAATCTGTCCTCCTGACCCTTCTCGTCCCCTCACCTCCAGCCCCATGCTAGCTCCGTTTTTTCTGCCTCCTAGGTGTTGCTAGAATCTACCCCCTTATAAAAAATGGCATGGCAGAGGCATCTGACCTCCTCTGACTTCACAAGGGGAAGGAAAATCAAGATCAGCAGTCCAAAGCTGATTCCTGTGAGGTGGAGATCAGGCATATCTCCTCTGTCTAACCGTTTTACCAATTCTGACACCAACCTTCCCTCTTGCAGCACCCTCTACTTCTCTGCTAGGTTTGATAATTTGTTGCAGTGGCCACACAGAACTCACAGACCGTACTCACAGTTACAGGGTTTATTAGGGAAGTAACGGGTTACCCAGTTCAGGTTTATGAAGGCTCAGGATACACTTCTTCAATCAGGATCACCTCTTCTCGACCATGCGCGCAGGAAGGCCTCTCTCTGCAGCCCTCAGCCTCTTGGCCTGGCCCCTGCCTTGCTCAGGCAAGTCTTACAAAACTCTGCCGATAAGTACCCAGAGGGACCTCACTCCACCAGTAAGCCTCGGCCCAAAGGTGCTCAGTTGTAGTTCCATGGGTCAGCAAACCTAGCTCCACCAAGTGCCTGGAGGCACCCTACTCCACCAGCAAGCCTCTTGCCTGAAGGCGCTCAGCCTTCTTGCTCCATGAGCCAGGAAGCCCACCGCCCTGTCTCCTCCCGATCTCCTGCTTCTGCTGCTGTGATTTCTCTGCTGCCACTTTGCGTTGTTGTCTTCGGTGTTAGAGCTCTCTCTCTCGGTCTCCTGGTTCCAGGGGCTTCTCAGTGCAGGCATCCCGGGTCCAAAGGACATGCTCTACTCCTGGCTCTTTCTTGGTGGTAGTGAGATCCTCCTCTCTGCTCTGGAATTGGCTCTTTGAAGCCTAGCAGGATAGCAAAACTGACCAACTTCCTCGTTAGGGTTCCATACACCTTATTTGCGTGGTCCCACCCCACAAGTATGCCATGCAACTTATTTACATTATTAGCAAGCTATCCAATCCCCTTGGTGGGCCACAAGTACCTCGTTTGCATAGTCCCACCTAGTTGTTTGGTGGGAGTTACAAAGACTATGGCTAGAAGGGCCATATTAAGTAATTCACTGTACCACACCCCTTCTCTGAATCCCTACTGGCCGTCCACCCTCCCCTCCTTTAATTAACTAAGCCAGGTCTTCCCTGATCTCTGCTTCTCCAGCTGCAAGTGGAGGGGTGTTTCTAAAAAGCAGACGTGATCATTTCTCCATGCAGTCCACTTAAATCGTGTCTGTGCCCCTTGTGTGACCTCATGGCAAATAGAGTTCACACTCCTTGACGTGGCTTAATGGTTCTTAAGACTGTCCCCAGCTTAATGCAATGCTGTCAGCTTGGCCCTCCCCACACGCCCTCCCCACGATCTACTCCGGATGACTTTGAATTCCTCAGACATGCCGTGCTGTATCTGCCCACCTGACCTTTGCAGTGATGTTTCCTCTCCTGGAATATTCGTCACCTGGCTAA